GTGAGTAAGGAAGAAAAAGCTGATGTCTACCTTAGCCCAATTAATCGTCGTTCCTTGTGAAACAAATGTCGCATTAGAGAGAAAACTTGGTGCATGTCGAGCCTGTGCATGTAATAGATCCCAAAGTACGGGCAATAAAACGAGTTTGTAGAGGAAGATATAAGGGAAAGAGAGAGAAGAAAATCCATCGATAAAATTACCATAGAAAACGGTCATCCAGTGCCGCGGTCCCGTCGGCTTCTCTTCCATTATAGCCGGCTCACCTTTATGCAGCGTGGAAGAGCCTTCTATGCCGAGGGAAAACGTTGTGCACCTTATTGCAAGTGTACGTACACATGCCTCCACCTGCCCTTAATACCCCCTATACTCACTCTCTGTCTCTCTCTCTTTTTATGTGTCGAGAAGGTCGGAGATAACGTGCGCGGTTCTCTCTCTCTCTCTCTCTCTCTCTCTCTCTCTCTCTCTCTCTCTCTCTCTCTCTCTTTCTCTTTCTCTGGTGATAAAGGAGATTTCGCCAACGAGGAGCAAGCGAAAAAAGAAAAAAGATGATAGGACCGCACGGCAACGAGCTATGTTGGATAATTAATTATGAGATTATGTACTTTGCGCGATCTCAGTGCTCGTGTGCTTGTACATCGTCTCTACGCTCACGCTCTATGTTTACATTTATTTAATTAAGTTTCTTGACACGGTTTGGGACTCTTATTTCCTCTTTTTCTCGCTATTTAATTATGTACTTCAACAAGAAATGCCAACGAGAGTACTTGCTTCGCAATAATTAGCGTATGTTACATAGATTATTTATTATGTTATAAAATATTAGATTAGATGTTATGGTTTCATAGATTAGATAACTACTTTGACCAATATAATTGCTATTTACCGAGAGCTACTGAACAGTAAAAAATTATTACTAATTAAACGAAAGAAACTTAACGACAAAATTTTCTAGGAAAGTTTGGAAATAGAATCGTGAAAGATTGACCTTGATCAAAGCTCTGCATTCACTGCGGTAATTCGGCATCTTCAAAACAGCGTGTACATTAAAGGCGGATATTTCGAGAGCAAGGAAAAGCCTCGAAGCGCCGCGAATGCTAGTGACGTGAATAAAAGGGGGACACAGCGTGTGACGAGGGGCGACCAACTCTTGTGTGCGTGTGTATGTGAGAGAGATTCTAAAACTTAAAACGCATTCCGATGCGTCTACGTACAGCAGTTACCCTATTAAGGCACTATACAGCCGATTCGGATAAGCGGAAGAGATAGCGATAATTCAGTTTTGCTTTGCTGCTAGTTTTGTTAGTGCTGGACATACATGCAGGAAAACAATAGTCGGGATGCGACAAAGTGAATTTTTTAAGACACTGACATTTTTCAGCTAGATTTTAGTCAAAATGATAATGATAAATGTATCGGAAGACTGAAATAGAAGACAATTATATTATTTTGAAATCATGGAACAGTTATCAGATTGGAATTTGAAAACACTTTTGAATGTTGAATCCACTGTATGAAAAATCACGTTGTGATATAGATACGCAATGATCAGTATTATTGTCAAGTTCAGAAAATATTACACAGAACAAAATGTAAAAGATGAAATGAAAAATCTTCAGATAATATTATTAATTTAATGTTTGTACACAATGTATTTTCGTTTGATCCACGTGATGCATATAACTAAATTCTAATTTTGGCACGCGTTAAAAAATAGAACTTTATGCGTGCGAATCAAAATAGAGCGTTGAAAGACTAGAGTTTATAAATAGTTGGCAGCAACAGCAGGGAGGAAAAAATTAGCACTATACAAAAGCGAAGCATGAAATGCCCAAAGATCCATCGAATTTATTTTCGACGAACATTTGATGTCGATGATTGAGTAGGTTTAGAGATGCGATGTTATGAATTTCGGTGTTATTTTAATAATACAAGAAAGAGAGAACACATGGCACTTGAAATTCTTTTCACAATTTGCATACGCGTGTGTATATGAAATATTCAAGATTTTGCTTTTGTCAAGAATCCATGGGCACGTGTGTTCCAAATATACATACATAGGCTTCGTTAAACCGGGTTACATTTTCGCTTCTTCTATTTTCAGCATACGACTTGTAGGAAATAGATAAATATACAAAAGTAAAATACAAACTCAACGCAACTATAATTTTTTATTACAACCGATGAAAAAGATCGACTTCAGTTTAGAATTTTTTTTCTTTCAGTTATTATTATTTAAACGAATTTTACATGCCAAATGACTTGTTTTATCGGAATTTCATGTAGGGTCATGAGATAAATTTCAGATGGATTTCGAAGTACCTTGAGTATTTTAATGGGCATCAAATATGCAAAGAAACTGTATATACATTTCAAAATTATTATACGAAACGAACTATAAATAAAAATGAGCGAAAATTGAATTTACATATTGAATTTCATTCAGTTGATATTGAATCATGTGTAACTATTGGCAGTTACGATTTCCATTAGTTATATTATAAATTAATATGTATCCACTATCAATCTACTACGGGTCGTAGTCCAGAGCTGCATAGAACTGTCATTATAAAATAATTGAATAAAACAGAAAACAAGGTAGTTGCCTGTTTGAAAACACAAACACTATTAACGTTACTTCGGTTCGTTACGCTGGCGCATATAATGGACCACACACGTAATGGGAGAGTAGCGTACGTGAGTCAGTATCCAGATCAAAGCAAGGCCAATCAATTTATCCCAGGCGGCTAAAACGAGCTATACCTAGATTTAACGTTTCCGCGCTCGTCTGCTCGCCTCGGCGCTCCCTGTGTTTCGGCTCTACACATAAATTCAACGACGGATTCCGCGCAAATTCTTTGTCTTGTATATCATCGCGAACGTCTATCTCGGCCCTTTTTTGGTCTTGTCGGCACCGATCGACAAATCGCTGCTGCAGTGACCGGCGCCCGCCGTAAAAAACGTCAACGGTTAATCAAACTAATGGCCATTTTTCTCTCCCTAGGATGTAAAGCTTTTTTTCGCGTGCACGTTTGTAGTACGCGCGTAGCTGCGTGTGCGTATATGCACAACAACTTGCATACTCGCTTAAAACTTTTCCGACTGGTTTTCGCGCGTCACGCGCACTACCCGATGCGTAAGCATAAACGTGCCAAGCTTATGCGTGTGTACGCGCACACACCTCCAGCGAAATTGGAAACAGCACTTCCGTTGATTACCCAAACTCATAATCAACACCAGCGCGCTTTCGATCTTGACAAAGGAAACGAACTCGGTTCTCTTTCTTTTCTCCCTCACTCCGCTCTCTCTCTCTCTCTCTCTCTCTCTCTCACCCGTTCATGCCAAAGGTTAATGAAAACGAAGTGCACTTTTCACGCGCGAATCCCGTAGCTCTCTCTCGTTTTTACGAGCGAGCTGCTTTACCCTTTTTTCTTGCGCTATTTACGCTATGCTCGAGCTTTTGTGCAGAATCCTGTTGAATAGATCCACTCTAAGAAGAATATCTTTGTATTATTCCTTCAATGAGCCTCGTTTGTCGTTGAATTTTAACGCGTTTGCTTTATGCTCGTACGGCATCGATCACTATTGAATGCTTCTAGTTTCATATTAATCACGAGTTAGATTCTAATTTGCGATCAACTCTACATTTCATCATGTATTATTTTAGAAACGCTAATTTGAGCTTTTTCAACTAAAACGAAGTCATCGGTCTCAACGAAATAAATAAACGCATGAAAATGTAGTTTAACTAACTTTTAATGATGCAATTCTGCCTAACTAATTAGCTCGTTAAATTCCTTCCCGGATATGACAATTAAACTCGCGCAATTTAAATATACGTAACAAATACAATGAAAAAGATGTGTTCTCTTACACAACAATCTCACATAGAAAATAAAAAAATGAGAGTAAATAAAAAACTCTTTACTTCAATTTGTGCTAATAATAAACTCATAAATCTCAGAAAGGGTAAGTACCCGCGTGTTTGCTCTTTCAGACAAAAAATTGTCCAAATATTTTAATGGCTCCCAATGATTCATGCTACATGCTTTTTATTTTGGTAAATGGTGTTGAACTGCTTTCTTTCTTTGACACCAGTATTTGTATTTGTGTGCGTGTATGTGTGTGTGCAGCGTGTACCATTCGGTGTCAGTAAACTATTAGAACGCGAAGAATAGGGGTGAAGTCAAATGCTGAAGGGGACTATGACACGATCACCAATTCCTACGCCATGTGGGGGAAATGACAGATGAAAAAAAGGCATAACATGCTGTTAGCATTAACGTGATGATTTCAAAAACTTTTCTCTTTTTTGTCTCGCTGCTGTATTTGACTGAAACAATATATACATACACTTTAAGTAAAAGAGTCTCTTATTTATGATCATATATAAGTTTTTTATCTTGTAATTTCTAACTGACAAGGTTTTCTTATTTACATGGAGATGTTCAAGCTTGAGGGATTTATACGTCACTAATGCGTACTCTCGTGTAACTAAGTACTGAAATTTTCTACATTCTAGAAACAGAATTTATTTCCCTATTTCGCAAATTTAATAACTTTTATTATAGTACAGAAGAAGTATGAAAACTAATGAATATTTAGTTCAAATTGAGTGAGCGAACCGAGGCAGCAATTTTGACAAAGTAACCAGAATAGATAGAGGTGAGTCAAAACTAAGGGAAATCAATCATAGGCCAATTTATTCATAACGTCTCTATGAGTCAGAAAGCGAAAGATCCCCTTAACCATATCACGTAAGTGTCCGCGCTCGTAGCCAAATAATTCTTCCCTCAACGTTTTCCCTTGAAAGTCGTTCATTCATCATGTCACAAATTTTCATTCCCTCATCCCCACCCCGTAAAGCGTACAATGGCAAATCCATCCGCACCGCCGCCGTCGTCACTTCAGTAGAAGGTGTCGACATCGACAGCTCGCACAGCGCGCTCCATTATCGGAACTGTCGGGTGAAAAACGAAGGAAAGAGAGAGTGGGGGACTCACCTTTGTTCCGGCTGTCGTCGGCGGCGTTGTACCTAGAATCCACGATAGTCAGCAGAAACGCCAAGGCGAGAAACAACAAGGTGAACGTGCACCGCATGATGGACGTCAGGCGTCAGACTGCCATCGATGCTACATTGGAAATCATCTAATCCCTCTCTCGTATGATATTCGAGCTTCTTTTCGATGATCTCCCGTGCGATTAACTTTTGTGAATGGCTTATATTATTTCATAGCAATTTGGCTCAATTGTTCACGCAGAGTGTCCGTGAGATATCATTATGTAAAGTGATACTGCCGCACTCGGTATCACGGAATTGTGTCGAAGCGAAAAAGCGTGCAGGAAAGAGAGAGAGAGAGAGAGAGAGAGAGAGAGAGAGAGAGAGAGAGAGATGACAACAGTCAGATCACTGGTATTTTTTCTCGTTCACCCGTGCGTTCGCGCGCGAGTGAGTGCTCTTTTGACGCGTGTGATGTGTCCGCCACAGCACAGCGGTCACCAACGATGAATGACGACGAGTCGGGTTAAAGAGTTCCAGTGCTTTTTTTTTGAGCGCTGTTTTTTGCCTTTTTATTGGCTCGATTCCACACTTCTTTCGAGTGTCGCCGACACGTTGCTTGATTCTTTCAGAAGTACCACGTGTTCTCGTTATGCCGCTCTTTTTTTCTTTGCGTTTACAATTTCGGACCTCCCACGCGTAGCTTTGTCCAACTTCAGAGTAGTCGGTGTCTTCTCTCTGATGTCGCTACTTCTGCTTTTCACTCTGACAAACAAAAAAGAGTTGCTCGTTCAGCTGGTCTGTGTGTATGTGTGATTTTTTTTTTGCCGAATTCCGTTGCCAAGTTTCACCGTCTGTTCCTATTCGGACCAGTTGCTTATTCGGCGAAAACTCGAGCTTTGTAATCTCGCTGATGACGAGTGTTGCTTTCAGTGATGAAAATCCGAGACACTTTGTTGTCACGCGCTCAAAAAGAGAAAAAAAAGATGCTCGCACTTTCGGGCTGTTTTTTATCAATGTTCTTTTTCCTGTACGGAATGCAAACGAAGATGAATTATTCATCTGTCATCGCGTTTGAACCAGTTTTCACGAATCAATAAAAAGCAAATCACACACACGATCACTTCACAAGCTGATAACACATTGCATCTGCACAAATTCGCCCCCAAGGATTCAACTTTCTATCGAGTTGAAAAAACTTTACGTCATCTGACGATGCATGCAACGGAAACGGAAAAAAAACGAATAGGCGCATTTGAGACGAAGCTGCGTCTGCGTCAAGTCGCAAGCATAAATAAGCGCGTATGTCGGCTGCCGGCGCGAAACTAACTAAAAGCTCGTGCTAGTCGAAACCGAAGAAGCAGCAGCGACTCCTCACAGGGTTCCCACTATAGAAGTGCGTGCAACGCCTACACGAAAAGGGAAAGAGCTTGAAAATACGCGGCGTGACCGTTCCCCCACCATAACCACTCTCACTCGACTACTCACCGTCATCATTCTCTTTTTTGTCCCCTTGCACTAGCGGCGAATCCAAGCTGCAACTGCCCTCTTCCCCCTCCTCTATCTACTTCTATTTCTCGACACACGCGGATGAGAGATAAATGCGTACTGCACGTGCGTTCGCGCGAGGGGGTGGGGGAGCTAAAGGTAAGAGGTAAGCCGCACGGGGTACGACTCAATTTGTAATCGACTATATTTTTCCGTTTTATCGTTGATAACTCTGACGTTCAGCTTCGAAAGGTTTGTTTTTATATGAATCAGGTTATTTTGAGCCTTTGTAATTACAAGTTAAAATGAAACTCACTCTATTAAACACCTTCTAGAAGTGTGATCATTATTAATTCGGGACTAATTTTGAGATTTTTGTTTATTAACAGAAGCTTGCTTAGTTCATTCGAGAAAATGTACACTCATTGATAATCATGTGTTGATTTTATTTCAATAGGGGAAAACATTTCTTAATGATACTTTTATATGCAAATGTTATATGTATAAATATCGTTTATTTAAAAATAAAACTTTCACAACCGTTCATATTATTTGAATCAGAGAATAAAAAAAATATAGATAATGGATTAATCGGAAAAGTGAGATTATGAATTTTTACATTTTATTGAAGATTTCTTTTTATAAAATAAAAAAGTTAAATTTTCGGATAAATATAGGAAAAATATTTTATTCGTTATAAAAAAAATTTTTATTGGAAGAGAAAATGGTATGTTCATAAAAGATTTTTTCGCGTAATTCGAAAAGAACATACAATAATAACATACTAAAATAAAACTTGAAATTTTTCACATCTGAAAAAATGTCAATTAACAATTCATAATACACGAATGAAATAAAATAAATTGATAAGCGAGCGCGTTTGTAATTTTGACGCTGACAGAAATGTTAAAAAAAAACGCGAATAATAATTCAGCGCTCGCCACGAGAAAAATCTTGGCAAATAGTTTGAGAGCAAAAAAGAAAAAAAGAAATGACAGATTCGCTTTAATCCAAGCGGTCGCGTGCGCAACGCGTTTCGGCCCAATAAATATACGAGCATACCATGTACGCTGCAACTGGCGGCGCGTGTATATTCATGAGGGGTGACGCGGAAAAAAGCAGGGAAAATGCTTTCGGCGTATCATCGCCACGCGCATGCATTACGAGGGGAGGTAGGAACGGGGACTGGTGCTCAAAGTGTAGATATATAGTATTGTATCGCTGCTAGTGGGAGAGTTGTGGAGACGTCTTGAGCGGGAAAAAGTTTTAGCTTGGAATTTCGATTTGCTACGGCTTGACGCCGCTGCCGTTGCCGGAGCGAAGAAGCGACTCCCAAAAGAGTTTTGCCCATCTTCGTTCGCTTCCTTTCCCGCTGTCATTTCGTCTCTATCTATCTGTCTGTTGGTTTCCTTGCCGACTATATTCTCTCCGCACTGTGCTCCTTGTTTTCATTTTGTTTTACGCTTTTATTCTTTTTTCCCTAGCTCGCAGATATACTGAATGCAGTGCGTGGAAAGAGAGGAATTGATTTGAAATAAACATTGACTGCGTGTATCACTATTGGCGGATTCTTCACTGAATGTGATTCAATCAACGATAAGGCTGCTTTTGTCTTTCAATTCAATACATTATCCTGGTCATTTAACTTCAAATATATCGAACGCTGTTTCACGATTTATGCAATCAAGTGGATTATGCATTCGACTTTGTTATTCGACGATAATTTGAATTAGACGAATTTCGAAATTTCAAAAACAATCAATCAATCTTACATGTAAATATGTTTATTATTCATTTTTCTCTCCGTTGCAACGGTGTTGTAAACTCAAACAGAATGCAATCTTATATAGCTCACAGCATTTCAGAGCGGAACTGATGTATATAGTATCGACACGTATGGTAACTATTGTCGGTAACATATACTTTAATATTGCAGCCAACGAAAAACAGTTTCACGAAATGATTAATTGCACCGACAAGATATTTACCCTGGCCCACGTATTTTATCGATAGTCCTGTCACAACAGTAGGATTATTATATCTAGGATTTTGGAAAAGATGTTTTACGTTATTTCAGTGCGAGATCAAAGTCCAATGCACATCAATAGCTCGCTATTGATAACGAAGTATTCCAAGATGCTCAAATTAATTAACGCGAAGGTATTCGATGCTAGTCCTTTTCGAGGTGTGATACAACACTAAGTGATAAAGACCTTATATAAAACTTTTTGCTTTTTCTCGTTGTATTACAATTATTTTTTTTTACATGGTCGAAAGTTTTAACAAAGTGTATGCTTTCTAGGACCATTGGTTTGATGATTTTTACGCAACGATATCGTATGATAGTTGCACTGCTTACAAGTCAAACAAACACAAGCTGCACCTTAAGTGTTGAAGTATAAAATTTAAAAGAATATAATCTATTTTTTTGTCATACAAAAAGGATTTATAGTATTTAATTCCATATTGCACCATATACTTGTAGATACTTTTTCAAAGTACACAGAATCTCAAAGTATTTTGTTAATTATTTTCTAAGTATATGCAACGTATGCCAACGAATACAGACGCTTAAGGGCTTTACTTGGAGAAACTCCATGAGAGATGTAAGACGCAAAGTAAATAGTGTTCGTTCCAGACTCGCACATGAAAATCTCCAGTGGATTTGTTGGTTACAGTCGTTTAATACCATATTCATATGACAGCATCAATGCAATATTCGATATTGCTCTGTCGTAGACCAAGAACCGATTATGTACAAATATTCGATAAATGTGAAGCCATAATAAACATGGCTAAATAAGGAAAATCAACAGAAAATACATTACCAAATACGATATTGTAGTAATAATACGTTAAATGCAGTCAATTGACTGGATGTGAGAAGCAAAAAAATAATTGAAAAGGGAAAATGTTGGAAATTCGCTGAAGCAAGGCTCGCTCATGAAGGAAGCAAAGGAAGCAAGGACTTGGTTATCTGAGAACACAAAGTAGTAGTATATTCTTAGTACCTTTGCAACTCTATACGGCGTATATCCGACGCTGATAGCTAGAATTCGAGCTAGAGTAAAGACTTAGCAAAGGATTAGAGAGAGAAAGAGAGAGAGAGAGAGAGGCTGCAACGTACTTGGCTCGCTCGCTTCGTTTCTCTTTCCATATCACGGGGAATTGGGTTCGTCGAAGCATGTCTCTCGCTCTCAAGAGTCTATACGGCGAGAGTGACGCGCGCTGAAATATTCATAACCGAGCAAGAGATGGAGGAGGGAAGATCATTCTTAACCTGCTAATTAATATTCGGTGCAGCCGCGGCGCTTGCGAGTCGTATATAGTATTCGCGGGGCGGCGGACGACGACCTTTGGCCAACAGGTGTTTCGCCTTCAAGTCGTGTGCGCGAGCGAGCGCCGAGGGGCATATACGTTGCGGAACTCGCTGCCGCGCGGACTTATGCATATTCCTGCAATTTCGACCAAGCAGTAGGTCTATCTGAGAAAGTTAGGATAACGTTATTCAGTGGGTACAATTTCAAACGGTTTTTGTCATTCATGAGCTCCTCTATTTATTGGGATTGCCCGAAACAGGACTCGAAGAAATCCAAATCGAAAATCCAGTCGGCATACTTGAACATCTACATCTCAACGGAGCGTTTCACTCAATTCTTTGGAATATTTTTGAACGAAGCTGCAATATTAATGCATTAATTTAATTAAAACTGTAGTTAGATCACTGCAATCGATAAAATGATATGGACTTCACTCCAAATATCGCTCGTAATATCATACCGACATTACAAATGTTATAGAAACATAATGACATATCTGTAATAGGATACATTAATTGATACATCTAATATGAGATTGGACACGTGGATTATAAACAAAACGATAAAATTAATGGTTTGCAAGATACAAAATTCAATTTACTCACAAATAGAACATTAGTCAGGCTCGGTATTATGTAACAATAGCTTTCAGGGAAGAGCCTGCGAGGGCCCGAAATACACGAAGCAAGCGGCGCGAGCAGCCATAATATAATAAAATAAGAGGGCCGGGGGGGGGGGGGGAGGGGGCGCCTAGCACGCGTCTCGCTGACATTAGATTAGCGACGAGCGTCTCGATAGCGTATATCTCTGACGAAAGCGGCAACGGCACTTGCCACGGAAGGCAATCTGCGCTGTTTATAATTGAGCGAGCTCCAGCGCCATCAGGTATATACCTACCTAACGGCGCGCGCCCCATTAATTAGAGTGGTTAATCGCCGAGGGATTCCCGGCGATTCATTCCGTCCGCACAGGACTACGTGAATCATTCGCTTTACCGTCGGCCACGCAAGAGGCCCGTAAAGCAGCGCCCTTGCCGCTTACAACCATGACTCATCCTTCGGAAAAAGAAAAAAGTAAATATCCAAGTACGTTTGTCGCGTTCTGTGACCTCACTGCACAGCCGACTACGTACTGACTACAGCGCTTACAGTTCGTCATGTTAGCGAGGTGATTCGCGCGAATGCGTGTTAAAGATACACATGTCTGCACTTCAAGTGTGGCGATCGAGTGCTTTATTGTACAGAAGTTCGCTAATGAATCGCCAGCCGCAAAAGCTCCGACTAATGTTTTCCTCCGTCTAGTTGCTGAGTCACGAGCTGATAGCTCGCGTATTTACACGAAAAGGTATATGAAACTAAGAGAGAGGGTGAATTTGCTGTTTCCCGTTGAGGGAGACAAGAGTAATTATCGCCGACTGGCGTGATGTTTATCTTTTCACTGATCGTTGTCACTAGTATAGGTGCTTGCCTGCTTAATTTCACACGATAATTATTATCCTCACATAATCGAGATTTCGTTTCTTTTTTAATAGTTTTTTGTGTACACTATCGCGCGGGCGTGGAAAATGCGATGACGTGTTTCCACTTGAACTCCGTATTCATAAATAGATATGTTTTCTGTTCTGAATGTTATTACTTTTACC